ACTGAGACACACAGACTGAGACACAGACTGAGACACAGACACAGACACAGACACAGACACACACAGACACAGACTGAGACACAGACACAGACAGAGACACAGACGCAGACTGAGACTCTGAGACTCGACTCGACTCGACTCGACTGCCGTTTCTCTGGAGGTTTTAATCACGGCTCAGTTCTGCGGAGAGAAATTCCGCTTAATATTTATGACAGTTTTACATCCGGGAAAGGCCAAACCCCGGAATGTTCCACAGTGCGGCATTAAAGAGGAAGAGTGTGACTTCTGTGGGGTTTTAACTGAATCTGTGTGTCGTTCCTTCATTCGTTTTTCAATATAAAACCAAAAATAAGAAAACAAAAAAACAACTATTTTCTTCGTTATTTGTCTCCAAAACCAAAATGAAAAAACAGATAATGATTTGTTTTTTTTTCAGTTTTCGATTTTGTGTTTAAATGAAAAATGGAAAAAACGGAGAACGGAAGTTTCCCGTTTACGTGACTTCAGTGACCAGGACTAAACCAGGACTAAACCAGGACTAAACCAGGACTGATCCAGGTCCGGGACTGAGACCAGACCTGAGACCAGGACTGAGACTGAGACCAGGCCAGGACCAGACCGAGACCAGAGCGGGACTGAGACCAGGACTAGACCGGGACAGACCAGGACCAGACTACACCAGGACTACACAAGGACTACACCAGGACTACACCAGGACTACACTAGACCAGGACTACACCAGGACTACACCAGGACTACACCAGGACTAAACCAAGAAAAAAACAAGACTAAACCAGGACTACACCAGGACTAAACCAGGACTACACCAGGACTAGACCAAGACTAGACCTACACCAAGACTAGACCAGGACTACACCAGGACTAGACCAGGACTACACAAGGACTAAACCAGGACTAGACCAGGACTAGACCAGGACTAGACCAAGACTAGACCAGGACTACACAAGAACTAAACCAGGACTAAACCAGGACTACACCAGGACTAAACGAAGAAAATAACCAGGACTACACCAGTGCCATGAGCCATTGAACCGATTTCCTCCGCTGATGATTTTATGTCATAAAAACTCTAAAGTTAAAAATGTGAAATGTGGGGTGTTTTTAATCACCGTAAATCTCTTTGTGTTGCATTTATGTATGAAAAACTCTCTGTAAATAAAGTTTGATCGATCGCCGTCGATCCAAGAAAAGACCGGGACGTGGCACTTGTTTCCAGCGCAACGGACGACCTTTTTTTTTCCTCCCGTTCGTCCACGTCTTTTTTTGACACTTCGGTTTGGACGGACTTGAGTAACAGAGCTGCAGACAGAGCCGTGCCTTCAGTTAGCGTCACACCTCCAGAGAGAATGTTGGTGTTTTTCAGTCCGACCTGAGGAGATGAGGCTCAAACCATCAGGATCGTCTTTTAAATCACTTCTGAAAACCCATTTTTATCGGTCGGTTTCACCTTGATTTTGTCCCGTATTTATTTCTATTCTATTTTATTAAAGGTTGTTTAAAGGGAAAAGAAATACAGATGTTTCTACAGCTCCTCCTCCCGCCTCCTGACCCAGTGTTGGGGAGTAACAGATTACATGTACCAGAGTAATCAGAGTACAAATGATGAGTAACTGTATTCAGTTACAGTTACTGTTTCAGTGAGTGGTAATTGGATTACAGTTACTTTGTTGAAATAAATGGATTACACAGAGGGATTTTACTGTTTTCACATTTTGGTCTGTTTTGTTTTTTGGGTTTTTTTTTTTTTGGTTATACCACTCATCGTCGGACACTAAACCAGGTCTAAACCAGTCTAAACAGGTCTAAACCAGGTCTAAACCAGGTCTAAACCAGGTCTAAACCAGGTCTAAACAGGTCTAAACCAGGTCTAAACCAGGTCTAAACCAGGTCTAAAACTAAAGGTCTAAACCAGGTCTAAACCAGGTCTAAACAAGGTCTAAACCAGTCTAACCAGTCTAAACCAGGTAAACCAGGTCTAAACAGGTCTAAACCAGGTCTAAACCAGGTCTAAACCAGGTCTAAACAAGGTCTAAACAAGGTCTAAACCAGGTCTAAACCAGATCTAAACCAGGTCTAAACAAGGTCTAAACAGGTCTAAACCAGGTCTAAACCAGGTCTAAACAAGGTCTAAACAGGTCTAAACCAGGTCTAAACCAGGTCTAAACCAGGTCTAAACAAGGTCTAAACCAGGTCTAAACAAGGTCTAAACAGGTCTAAACCAGGTCTAAACAAGGTCTAAACCAGTCTAAACCAGGTCTAAACCAGGTCTAAACCAGGTCTAAACAAGGTCTAAACCAGGTCTAAACCAGGTCTAAACCAGGTCTAAACACAGGTCTAAACAGGTCTAAACCAGGTCTAAACCAGGTCTAAACCAGGTCTAAACAGGTCTAAACAGGTCTAAACAAGGTCTAAACAAGGTCTAAACCAGGTCTAAACCAGGTCTAAACCAGGTCTAAACAAGGTCTAAACAAGGTCTAAACCAGGTCTAAACCAGGTCTAAACCAGGTCTAAACAAGGTCTAAACCAGGTCTAAACCAGGTCTAAACCAAGGTCTAAACAAGGTCTAAACCAGGTCTAAACAAGGTCTAAACCAGGTCTAAACCAAGGTCTAAACCAAGGTCTAAACCAGGTCTAAACCAGGTCTAAACAAGGTCTAAACCAGGTCTAAACCAGGTCTAAACCAAGGTCTAAACCAGGTCTAAACCAGGTCTAAACCAGGTCTAAACCAGGTCTAAACCAGGTCTAAACCAGGTCTAAACCAGGTCTAAACAAGGTCTAAACCAGGTCTAAAACAGGTCTAAACCAGGTCTAAACAAGGTCTAAACCAGGTCTAAACCAGGTCTAAACCAGGTCTAAACCAGGTCTAAACCAGGTCTAAACCAGGTCTAAAACCAGGTCTAAACCAGGTCTAAAACCAGGTCTAAACCAGGTCTAAACAAGGTCTAAAACCAGGTCTAAACCAGTCTAAACCAGGTCTAAACAAGGTCTAAAACCAGGTCTAAACCAGGTCTAAACCAGGTCTAAAACCAGGTCTAAACCAGGTCTAAACCAGGTCTAAAACCAGGTCTAAATCCAGGTCTAAACCAGGTCTAAATCCAGGTCTAAACTAGGTCTAAAACCAGGTCTAAACCAGGTCTAAACCAGGTCTAAACCGAGTCTAAACCAGGTCTAAACCAGGTCTAAACCAGGTCTAAATCCAGGTCTAAACCAGGTCTAAACCAGGTCTAAACCAGGTCTAAACCAGGTCTAAAACCAGGTCTAAACCAGGTCTAAACTAAGTCTAAACCAGGACTAAACCAGGTCTAAAACCAGTCTAAACCAGGTCTAAACCAGGACTAAAACCAGGTCTAAAACCAGGTCTAAACTAAGTCTAAACCAGGACTAAAACCAGGTCTAAACTAAGTCTAAACCAGGTCTAAAACCAGGTCTAAACCAGGTCTAAAACCAGGTCTAAACCAGGTCTAAAACCAGGTCTAAAACCAGGTCTAGACAAGGTCTAAAACCAGGTCAAAACTAAGTCTAAACCAGGACTAAAACCAGGTCTAAACCAGGACTAAAGCGGGACTAAAACCAGGTCTAAACCAAGTCCAAACCAGGTCTAAACCAGGTCTAAATCCAGGCCCAAACCAGTTCTAAACCTAGTCTAAACCAGGTCTAAAACCAGGTCAAAACTAAGTCTAAACCAGGACTTAAACAGGACTAAAACCAGGTCTAAAGCAGGACTAAAGCGGGTCTAAAACCAGGTCTAAACTAGGACTAAACCAGGATTAAACCAGGTCTAAACCAAGACTAAACCAAGTCTAAAACCAGGTCTAAAACCAGGTCTAAACCAGGTCTAAAACCAGGTTTAAACCAGGTCTAAACCAGGTCTAAACCAGGACTAAAACAGGATTTAACAGGACCATGCTGCGTGGACGTGTTTCCTCGTCTTCTTTCAATTATATTTTTAATTTGGTTCAGTAAAGACTCTTCCTTTTTATTTTCTTTTATCAGACAAAACTTCTTATGTGAAGATTTCCTCGTCTTTGTTTCTCTACAGCAAATCAAGTAATCCAAAGTAATCAGATTACATTACTCACTTTAAGTAATTTAATGGATTCTGTCACAAACTACATTTTGGTGTATGTAATCTGTAATCTGTAGGGGATTACATTTTAAAAGTCACCTTCCCAACACTGTCTTTACTGTAGAAATCACACTTGTTTACATCCAGTGCGCGTTCAGAATCACTGTTGAAGTTTCCTGTCTAGAAATAATTCAGCGACCGACGCGTCAGTTTTAGTCCCTTTGTTTGCTTCATTTGCGCCATCGCTGGAAATGATCTCCAAAAATCACCTCAGTTTGTCTTCGCTCCTTTTCCTCTTCTCTTCTTCTTTCAGCGACCTCAAAAATTGACTTTCTTTTGCGGCGAACCGGTCATGGATTCTCGTCCGCCGTCGCGACAAACTTTGTACGAACTGCGAGGAAGCGACAGTTTAAAAAAGCCTCTAAGAACCGCCGCGTAAACCACGTAATCCCCGCGCGACGACGAGTCACTTACACTTGAAACGTAGGGAGTTCGATTGACAACCTGACAGCCAATAGAAAATGAGGGAGCCTCGTTTTCTATTGGCTGATGTTTATCTGGCCTCAACACGTCCACAGTTGATAGATTTTCATTCTTTTTTTTTTTAGTCATCATAATTACAAAGCTGCTGCGTCTCTGTAATGGTATTTTAAACTTTCACTGACAATTTGAATCTAAAAGAAAATCCTCCGTACAACCTTTAATGTATTTATTATAATAAATATTCATTTTTGCTTGTTTCTGTGGGTTTTCTGTTTGCTATTTTTACTGTTCTTTGCCCTTTTGTTGTTTGATTTATGATTATTTTGATGCCGTCAGCTGCAGAGAGTCGGTATGTTCGTCTGTCACAAACCCTCAGCGAAACCGTGTTTTTTTTGTTTTTTTTTAAGTGTGTACTAAAAGAGCGACTCACGATGATGAGGAGGATGAAGTAGATGAAGTTGTAGAAGGAGTGAGCGTCCATCACGTAGTACATGATCTCCACCCAGCCCTCCAGAGTGATCACCTGAGGAGACAGAGACAGAAGAGACAGAGACACGGGTTCAGTTACAAACAGAGAATTTGGAAAAGGAATTTATTTACGGACAAAATAGTGAACAAAAAAACACCAAGATCACGTGGAGCGGGTTAATACGAACATTTTAAGCCCAAAATGAGGCGTCTGACAGCTGCAGTGACACAGAGAGGAGCGACGGTTTTTCAATACAAAGTGAATCAGAGCCAGAGTCGATGGAGCCGGAAGTGAGACCGTGCTCACTTCCCGTTCGGACTTAGCGGTTTAGCTCAAATGAAGCTCATCGAGTCTCGCAGTTACAGTGAAAAATCTGCAACCAGACGACCACATTTGGAAACCTGAGCGTGTGTGTCGTAGCAACCAAAGAGCCAATCAGGAGCCAGGTTGTTGAAGGTAATTTCTCTTTTTTTTTATTTATTTATTTTTTTATTATTTTTTATTATTATATTTATTATTTTTTTTTTTGTTTTTTTGTTATTATAATATTTTTTTAATATATATTTTTTTTCTTTCTTTCTTTCTTTTATTATTATTTTTATTTATTTTCATTTTTTTACGCCTCTTTATAGCTTAGCAACGCTGTCAATCAAATTTTGCTAATGCTAATGCCAAAAGGAGCGACGTCGGATGAAAAAAGGTGCCCGATTATTCTGTTATTATTGTTCATGTTTTGATTTAGGGACAAAATAGTGAAATAAAAACCCCAGGATTATGTTAATATGAACATTTTAAGAGAAAAATGACGAGGCGAGACGATGGAGCCCGAATCAAGACCGTGCTCACTTCCTGTTTAGAACGTGGCGGGTTCGAGATGTCTGTATTTGGCTCCAGTGAACACAAGCATCACGAATCTCAGACTTCAGGTCATCGCGCAATTCACACTGGGAAGGATTTTCCAAAAAAAGTGAACATCAAAACTCCATGTTTGATTTCCCAGTGGGACGTGTCTACTGCTGGTTTAGTCCTGGTTCAGTCCTGGTTTAGTCCTGGTTTAGTCCTGGTTCAGTCCTGGTTTAGACCTGGTTTAGACCTGGTTTAGACCTGGTTTAGACCTGGTTTAGACCTGGTTTAGACCTGGTTTAGTCCTGGTTTAGTCCTGGTTCAGTCCTGGTTTAGACCTGGTTTAGTCCTGGTTTAGTCCTGGTTTAGACCTGGTTTAGACCTGGTTTAGACCTGGTTTAGACCTGGTTTAGTCCTGGTTTAGTCCTGGTTCAGTCCTGGTTTAGTCCTGGTTCAGTCCTGGTTTAGTCCTGGTTTAGTCCTGGTTTAGTCCTGGTTCATTCCTCAGTTCCTGGTTTAGACCTGGTTTAGTCCTGGTTTAGTCCTGGTTCAGTCCTGGTTTAGACCTGGTTTAGTCCTGGTTTAGTCCTGGTTCAGTCCTGGTTTAGACCTGGTTTAGACCTGGTTTAGTCCTGGTTTAGTCCTGGTGTAGTCCTGGTGTAGTCCTGGCAATATTTGTGTAAAGTTTTTATTTTAATGTAACAAATTACTTTGAAATGACAGAAACACGTCATAAATAAATAAAATATTACAGTTTTAAAGTCACTTGCCCAACAGTGACAGTTATTAACGTTCATATCTTGATTTAGCGACAAAAATAGTTCAAAATAAAAACCCCAGGATCATTTATATTGAGTTAATACAAACATTTTAAGACAAAAAACGACAAAGTTCACAGCGTCTTTTTGCAATTTTTCTAATAAACATTACAGTTGAGATTTTAATAATATCGTTCTACTCAAAGTTTGCATTTTAAACGTCCAGAATAACTGACAAAAACACTGAAATCTGACACAAAACTCTCTCTTCAGAACATGTTTGTGCAGATCTAAACTTCAGCCGCTTTTATTCACAATACGACCGGACATTTTCTTGCTGGACTTTTGGACTTTTGCCAGTCGCGTCCGTTCAAATTGTGATTTCGATTGAAACGCGATTCGTCTTAAGGATAATGTGTGTAATCAGAGTTAATGTCGGACGCCCCTGCAGCTGATCTCCTCCTCACGCTGATTCGCTCTGGGTCGTTACATCAGACAGTCAAGGTTAAAGCCCCAAAAGTTAAATTTAATACGAAGTCAACAGCTGAAAACGGTTTAAGAGCCCATCCCAGACTTTCGAGAGCGACTAAAAACGAAATAGCAGAGATTTAAGAGCTGTTTGTGCTTCTAATTTAACATTCGCTGTAAGACATGTCCGCTTCTCCACTCACACAAAATATATCAATGTACAAAAACTCACACAGAGCGAACGTAAATGGCCCATCTCAGGCAAAGTAACTCTTTCCACATTGTGTCTTCTGCACATTTTCAAGCACAATCTGGGTTTTGGAACGTCCATTACACAATAGTTATGAAATCTTGCTGATTTCTCGGAGGCAGCACAGAGCGGGAACTATGAAAGGTCGACTATTGCGAAGCGTTTTCTGCTCCGTCAAACGTCACGGGTGAATCTGCCGCGTCATCGTTGTAGCAGCTTTAGTTCGTCGTCACGTGGGAGGCAGAAATACACTGAATCAATCTAAAAATCACGTCGGCGACAAATACAAGACCAGTGTTGGGGAGTAATAGATTACATGTACCGGAGTAATCAGAGTACAAATGATGAGTAACTGTATTCAGTTACAGTTACTGTTTCAGTGAGTGGGAATTGGATTACAGTTACTTTGTTGAAATAAATGGATTACACAGAGGGATTTTAACTGTTTCTGGGCTATTCCCCTTTTTTTTTTTTTTTTTTTTTTTTCGGTAAATCCACTCATTGCAGGACACCAAACCTGATCTAAACCAGGACAAAACCAGGACTAAAATCAGGTCTAAACCAGGACTAAACTAGGTCTAAACAAGGACTGAACCAGGTCTAAACCAGGTCTAAACCAGGTCTAAACCAGGACTAAACCAGGACTAAACCACATCTAAACCAGGACTAAACTAGGTCTAAACCAGGTCTAAACCAGGTCTAAACCAGGACTAAACCAGGACTAAACCAGGACTAAACCAGGACTAAACCAGGACTAAACCACATCTAAACCAGGACTAAACCAGGACTAAACCAGGACTAAACTAGGTCTAAACCTGGTCAAAACCAGGACTAAAATCAGGTCTAAACTAGGTCTAAACCAGGTCTAAACCAGGACTAAACCAGGACTAAACCAGGTCTAAACCAGGTCTAAACCAGGACTAAACCAGGACTAAACCAGGACTAAACCAGGACTAAACCAGGACTAAACCAGGTCTAAACCAGGACTAAACCAGGTCTAAAAGAGGATTTAACAGGACTAAATCCTGCCGTGTGGACGTGTTTCCTCGTCTTCTATCAATAATATTTTTTTATGGTTCACTAAAGCCTGGGCTTTGGACAAAACCTCTTATGTGAAGATTTCCTCGTCTTTGTTTCTCTACAGTAAATCAGGTAATCCAAAGTATTCAGATTACATTACTCACTTTAAGTAATTTAATGGATTCTGTCACAAACTACATTTTGGGATATGTAATCTGTAATCTGTAATCTGTAGGGGATTACATTTTAAAAGTCACCTTCCCACTCTTAGAAGGCAGAAAGCTCTGAAAAGTTGATTTTGTGTGAGACGGGCCTTTAACCCCAGTTGTGAGGCACAGGATGGGGGTTGCACCTGATCCTTACTGCTCATTTCGTCTCCCGGGGCCGGCAAGTGAAGAAGAAGAACTAAAACGTGAAGAGTAAAGAAACGGAGAAGTTGGAAACGTAAGTAAAAGTAATTTATTGTTTTATCTTTATTCGTTTCACGTTGTAGTTCTTCTTCTTCACTCGCCGTTTGATCGATCCGTCGGAAAATAGAGTCCGGCGGTCACTTCTGTTGTGGCTTTTTGATGTGTTGTGGCTTTTTAATGTGTTGCCACATTTGCGTTTGTATTTGTTGTGGCGTTTGCATTAAAATAGAGTCCCGCGGTCATTTCCATTGTGGCTTTTTTTTGGTGTGTTGTGGCTTTTTAATGTGTTGCAGCATTTGCATTTGTGTTGTGGCGTTTGCATTAAAATAGAGTCCTGCAGTCATTTCCGTTGTGGCTTTTTTTTTTTTGGTGTGTTGTGGCTTTTTTTTTGGGGGTGTGTTGTGGCTTTTTGGTGTGTTGTGGCTTTTTTTTTTTTTGGGTGTGTTGTGGCTTTTTTTGGTGTGTTGTGGCTTTTTGGTGTGTTGTGGCTTTTTTTGGGGGGTGTGTTGTGGCTTTTTTGGTGTGTTGTGGCTTTTTAATGTGTTGCAGCATTTGCGTTTGTGTTGTCGCATTTGTATTTGTTGCGGCGTTTGAGTTTGTTGTGACCCCTCTCGGCTTTCGTACTAAAGAGTGCGGGTCTATGTAGTAAATGAGGTGTTGGGGCTGGGGGAGACATTCGGACATTTCCGTGGCCTAAATCAGTTACTGTTCCTTAAATCGTCATGGAAACGGTGCTACGTTTTTATTAGCGCTGTCAACGTCCTCGCTCTAACACATGTGATTAATCAAACAAATTGACGCTTCAGCCGCGAGTTAACGCAGATTAATCACACGGTTGGTTTTGGCCGACTCTCCCATCTCACATCTGTCACATCTGTCAGCCGGTTACACCCGCAAGCGGCGATGAAGGGCCTTTAACCCCACTAAACCCGTGTTTGGTCACGTACATTAACCTGGAACATGTGCTCACACTAATTCACTATGAAATACAATATTTATCATTTATAGCCACTTGGACTTTAAAATAACCCATTTAGATTTGTGAAATAATTAAATATGATGTTTTTTGTTATTTATTTATTATTTCAAATGTTAAAATCAGAAAGTTTAAATAAATTACAACATTACATCAGGTTTTTGAAGTAGAGTTCAGTTTGTATCATGTTTTTGTGTATTTATGGAGAGTTGTCATGTGGGATCATGAGTGATGTAGGCTTGTGGGCGGAGCCTCGTACAGAATCTTACAGATAAACGTAAGGAGCAGGGTTCCCACGGCCATGGAAATCCTATAAAAGTCATAGAACTTTGTAAATTCTATGAAAGTTTTGGAAAAGTCATGGAATTTTAGTATCTCTTTCACACAACTCCAGTGTTCTGTTAAGTTCTCATGAGTCTGTTTTGATTATTTCTGAACGCTTGCGCCGTTTGTTTAAAAGAGACGATAATAAATGCACTGACGGGATTTTGAATGTTAAAAAACTATAATCCCAAACCATCAGGTGAGTGGAAAGAATTCACATTTCATATTTAGCTCCAATTGTTTGATCAATTCTTCACATGTAGGTGCCGTAAAGTCATGGAAAATTCACTTTAGCTCATGAAAAATAATCCGGTTTCACTTTGAGGAAACCATCTGACCTCGCAGCATTAGGATCATCGTTCACTCGATTGTAGGCGGGTACTTTTTTTATTTAACCAATCGCTGCTGTTTGTTCGTGACGTTTGTAATGCGCCGCTGACGGGGATAACTGGTATGTTACGCTTTTCCCAAATTCTGTAGGAAGAAGGACAATAACGTGTTTCTCCTTGATAAAATTCATCAAACTTTCTTTTTGTTCTACTGTGAGATAGTATTTTGACCCCCATAGTACACTGACCCCCGGGGTCAACATAATAAAGCTATAATAAAGTGACCCACCCATAGGATTTTGACTCCCCTTACTTTAGTAGTTACTTATTTGTTATTATTTCTTGTGTAATTTACTTTTATTATATATTGCTACATATTCACTTTCTTTTAAGGTATTTTAAGGAATGTTTTGATGAAGAACGACTTTGCGTAAATGTAACATATTGTTCAAATTGCATATACATAACAATCTTGTCACTTTTTATATTGTATTTGACATTGTTATGGTTTTTAGTTTGTTATGTTCAGATAATCCTTCATCATAATGTCAATTTCAGCAACGACCTTGAATTTAGTCATGTTGTGTTATTAAATCTTCTCATATCCCTGATTTAACTACTCAGTTGATCAGCCCTGTTTATTTGAACAAGAGTCCAAATCATTATACATCACTTTGATTACCTAACTCATTAATAACTACTTATCTCATTGTCAGTAAAAGATGTTTAAACAACTAAGTAAAGTTTTAACATTCAAAAGTTTTAATCGACATAAAAAATTCATCTGAGTTCTACAAAACACTTTTAAATATGTCAACGTGTTTTAATTTGCATATATATATATATATATATATATATATATATATATATATATATATATATATATTATATATATATATATATATATATATAATAGTAGCACCTTATAATAACTAACACCAATTATTGTAAGAATTTGGGAAAGCTATATAAGCGGCGCATTAAAACGTCACGAACAAACAGCAGCGATTGAAATAAAAAAAGTACAAATAGTGAACGATGATAATGCTGCGAGGTCAGATGGTTTCTCAATGAAACCGGATTATTTTCATGAGCTATGAATTTTCTGACTTTACGTAATGTGATTGATCAAACAATTACTTAATAATACTCACCTGATGGTTTGGGATTATAGTTTAACTTCACTCAGTGCAATTATCAAACAAACGCAGCGTTAATAACTACACCTTATTTAGCCTTAATAAAGCATGAACAAAAGCTTAATTAATAATGATTCACGCTTAGTAACTACTTTATTGCTACCTTAATTAGCACTTGCACTTAATTTGCCTGTGCTGTAAATAGTTACTCATAATTATTTCATACTTAATTACTCATGGACTAACCCTTTGAGCATTTATTAATCATTAATAAACTATGAGAGAATGTTTTACTAATAATACAAAGCAATGATCATTCAGGCAGCTGTTATCTGTTAGTTAAGTCTTTTGGAGAACTTTTCTAACGTGAAGACGAATTATGTTTATTAAACATTTACTAAGCATGAATCATTATTAATTAAGTCTTTGTTTAGTATTAATTAAGTCTTTATTCATGCTTTATTAAGGCTAAATAAGGTGTTTTCTAGAGATTTCAAGTTCTTTATTAATAAAATATAGATTTTCATAGGGGGGTCAATATACTATTATAGGATTCTGATCCCAGGGTCAAAATACTATGTGGTACGTTGACTCTGGGGTCACCTCACCGCAGGCTGAAAATCCTATATGACATCGGCTTTAAATCCTTGATCTCAGGAATTGTTGCCAACACAGAATATATGGCTCTTTGCTGATTGGCTGGTGCCCGAACTCACACTTCCGGGGTTTTTGCAAATCGTCTAGTGCAGGGGTCTCAGATTCACGGCCCGGGGGCCAACTGCGGCCCTTGGAAGGATTTTTTGCGGCCCTCCACTTAATTCCAAAGAATAATGTTAGTGCGGCCCGTGGTAGATGTACGCACAATCCCACCCCCCCTTGACAGATGAAACTGCAATCAGTGCCCATGCAGATTCACAACAACAGATTATTAACGCAGCTTTACATCCCAAAACACGTGCACATACGGCATTTTTTTTGTGCAAACGCTATTTATCGAATACTCAATGTGGCCCAGCCTCACTCAGAATTTATCTAATGTGGCCCTCAGGTAATCTGAGTTTGAGACCCCTGGTTTAGTGTATTCTGATTCCTGACCTAGCTGCTGGAGAGAAATGAAACTGAGCGGCAACACTCGGTGGTGCCAGACTGGCTAGAAAAAATCATGGAAAAGTTCTGAAATTTTGTCAGTGAAAAAGACTCAAGGAAACTCAAGGAGCGTTTGAATAGAGCTCAGGAGAGATCTCTAAATTACTCAAACATGCATGGATGACTCTTAAACCTCATCAGGCAGAAAGCTCTTCATCATAACGGGGTGTAAAGTTATAAAAAGTTTCGATGGAAACAGTTAAATTGCTGATCTGACCTGGAATATGACGATCCAGGCGTAGGCGATGTTGTCGAAGTTGATGGCTCCTTTGTGCGGGTTCCTGTGCCCCGTCCCACAGCGGGTGTAGTACTGGTTCCAGTTGACGCAGAGTCCGGCCACGCTCACGCTGCCGTTGGTCAGAGGCTCCACGGCCAGGCCCAGACTCTGCCTGTAGAGGGCGTCGTCCTTGTCCAGGCAGCAGGTGCGTCCCCCCTCCCTGCGCGCCGGCACGTCCCCGCACGACATGATGCCGTTGTCCCAGGGCAGAGAGCAGATGAAGGGGCGCTCGTCATCCTCGTCCGCCATGTAGTACGGCTTTGGCAGGGAGAGGCCCGAGGAGCTGCGGGGAGAGAGGACAGGAGAGTTAAAGCTGTACCATGGAACTTTGTTTGATCCACTGAGTCCATGGAAATATAATAATAATAATAAATATAGCTGCAAGCGGTGATGATCGGCCCTCGCTCGAGCCTACGCCGCGCCCACGCCACACCACGCTGAGTCCTGCTTATGCCACACCAGTGCACCTTACCCCTTGCCCTACACCTAAATTAACATTAACCCTTAAACCAGGCATGTCCAAACTATGGCCCGGGGGCCAAATGCGGCCCTCAGACACATTTTTTTTGGCCCTCAGGCTTCCAGGTGAAATGGCCCAAATTACCTTGCATCAAATAAAAATATTTTTTTACTGCAAGTTTTCTGAAAATCTACCTTGATAAAGCCAATATTTAATATTTAGTGTGTGGTTTTAAGGATCTAAGCATGAATAAAGACTGATGGTTCATTCTTATGCACATATTTCATTTATTCACTGTACTGAGCTCCAGTCTACGACCCTTGATCGGCCCTCTGCTTCATCTGTGTTTAGATATGTGGCCCTTGATGAAAAAAGTTTGGACACACCTGCCCTAAACCTACCTGAACTCCTAACTGTAGCCCTAACCTTAAGTCGAACCTTACCCCTAACCTAATCCTAACCCCTAACCTTAACTGAACTCTACTATTTTTCTCAATTTCTGTATGTGCTGATTTTTTTTTAAATCCAAGATGGCGGACTTCCGGTTTGGCAGGGGGACATGGTCATAATATACTTTTTTGTTCCTATTCCCATGATGCATCTGTGTACCAAATTTGGTTTGAATACGTCAAAGTTTTTGTTGGGACGTCCCATTGGCGAGGACTGATTTTTGACGTGTTCCCATGGCAACACGATGGGAGATGGAGTGTGGGCGTTACTGACTTTTTCATCAAGTCACGAATGTGTGCACCAAATTTTGTATGTCTACGAAAAAGTAAAATTTTTTTGTTCCATACAATCTCCCTAGGGGGCGCTATTTTATTATATAAATCTGCTCAGGGCCGGGATGTCCTCCAACGATTAGAGTTTAATCGGCCAAAGTTTGTGCGAATTATCAGCGTTTCCATCTACACTGCCGAAGACGCAAAACTCTGGTCAGATGTGCTCAGGTCGTGTACACGTTTACGTCACATTCAACCCAAAACATGCTCCAGGTCCATGAACAGTTGATAGTCAAGGTCAGTTAAATACAATCAATTCAATCATTGTGTCCTTAGGCAAGACACTTCACCCACATTGCCTGTTATGAAAGTGTTGTGTGTGTGTGTGTGTGTGTGTGTGTGTGTGTGTGTGTGTGTGTGTGTGTGTGTGTGTGTGTGTGTGTGTGTGTGTGTGTGTGATGGTGGTGGTCGGAGGGACCGATGGCGCCGAGTGGCACGGCAGCCGTGCTACTGTCAGTCTGCCCCAGGGCAGCTGTGGCTACAACAGTAGTTCACCATCACCAGGTACAGAATGAATGAATAATGTTCTGTAAAGTGTCTTTGGGGACAGAAAATGTCTGTGAAAAGAGTTATATAAATAAACTTACTTACATACAAAATAAACATGTCAAATGGTATGCATACCCAATTGAATTCCACACTCTTTTGCGTCACCGTATGAATGCAGATTTCCTCCTGAAAACACTCATCTCAAGGCGGAATAAAAAGTGAAAATGCGGCACCACTTTTGCGTCTTCTGTTCAGACCCTCATCATATAAACGTAGACTTTTCTAGATGCTCTAAGTCACTTTACAGTTTGGTGCATTATTCATTCACTACACACGCGGTGGTGGTAAGACACTAGTGTAGCCACAGCTGCCCTGGGACAGACTGACAGAAGTGAGGCTGCCAGTCTGTGCTCATGATCCCTGACACCACCACCATCACTCACACACGACACGTCCATCCCAGGCAGTGTCCAATCCACTTTTACTTTTATATACCGTATTTTTTGGACTATAAGTGTAGTTAATATGATTACCGCATTTTCTGGGCTATTAGACTTAAACCTCCAAACCCATCAAAAAACAACTGCGCCTCACAATTCAGAGCTCCCCATACACGAATCCACTCGGGTGTCCAGCACGACTTCAACTAATTTCAGAAATAGCACAAATTTAAAAACACATTTTGCTCTACAAGTTTTTGAAACCTGTTTAAAGGAGAAGTTCAATTTGTTAAATGAACAAAAGTTTATTTGGTTGAATGTGTTTCACGGTTCATGATGATTCGCAGTTTATTCGCAAACATGACGAATTGAACTTCTCCGTTTGCCGTGGATTCGACCTGAACGACTGAGGGACTGTACACACATTTTAATGGATATGATCTGTAGTTGCAGACCCAGAGAGATGGGGAGTCTAACCCACAACCTCCTGACTGAGCGCTTGTCTCGCAGTCAAAGCGAACAGCTGCAGTTAAACGACTCGGAGCTCGTTAAAAGAGCGTTTGTGTCGCTGTAAACACTCAGACTAAATAAAGCCACTAATCTGTCCACTCCACACTTCATCCGTCTCACGCAGCGAGGAGAGAGTCGGACTTTTTATATCCACAGAGACGACGAGAGAGTTCAGACAGAATCACCAGCACAGGACGGAGGCAGGGGGCGCTCTCGGTCACATCACATTCTGTATTTCACAGACGATTAGTCGCTCTGGATTATAAGACGCACTGTCATTAAATGGTCTATTTTTGAAATTTTTTCACAAATAAACCGCGTGGGACTTTAAATGAAACTCAACAGTGTGATGGGTGAGTGGTTTTGTTTGTTTGTTCGTTCACGGTGACTCTGGGCTTTGTTCAGTTGTGGCGTGTAGTAGAGATGCGCGGATTGCGGTTACAACCGCGGGTCGGGCGGATGACGTGACTAAAAATTATATTTTAATTTAATTCGGGCGGGTGGTGGTTTAACTACAAAAAAAAAAAAAAAAGTTATTGTTAGTATTGTTACCTACATCTGAAAAGACGAGTGTCATTGTCTGTGCTTGTAGTATGAAGTGTACGTCATATCCTTAATTAGCCCATTTGACCTCGTTTTATGTTCTGAAGGTTCAGGTTGTGTCGGGTTATTGATGCCTAAGGTTTACGAGGCACATATTATATGCAGTTTATTTTATTATTTCTAATTTATTTCAGCTGTTTGCCAACACGTAAGTGGCTATAGGGCCAGATTTATTTAGTTATGCACATTTTTTCTTGCCTATTTCAATTGGAATATAAAGAGGGCATTGCCTGATTTCAATAAAGGTTCATCTGGATGAGATGATCTGTGTATTTTGTTTCGATATCAGTTATATTTTAAAACACGCAGACATTATAGCGTAAACTGCCACTCGGGGGATTTAAAACTTAAAGAAAGACCGATGGAGTGAGGCTATGACTTTGAAATAACATCGGGCAATGGCAGAATGTTCAGAATGTAACAACATCCAACACGAAGGCAAGAAGGTTCAAAAATAGCCTAGTCGGAAAACGTTGTCAGTTAATTAGCTGCGCAAGAAAACCAGGTAAGTCTGGGGTTGTTACGGACAATTAAGAATGCGAACAAACACGCTGAGCGAATTTTGGAATGAATGAGCTATAGAGTTTGCATTTTTATCGAGGCTCCTTAGTTTGTTTGCTGTATGATTGTGCTAAAATCTAAAATCAATCGGCAGATGGCGGCAGGTGCGGTTTTGAAAACCTTCAGTGCAAAATGGACAGCGGGCGGATGATGAGTTTTGTGTCGCGGTTGCGGATGAAAAAATAGCCCATCCGCGCATCTCTAGCGTGTAGGGAGGGTGCTGTCTGGGAACAACGGATTGTCGGCGTGTTCGCAGTGACTCGCTTTTTCGGTTCGTTTTTTGATGCAGTTAGAGGCTTTAGAGCGCGTCCAATCGCCTGGAAAATACGGTACTTAGATCACTGTGTTCTCTTTTATTGAGCTGAAAACACTTAATTCACCGAAAACGTGTTAACATGTTTTAAAACCTTTTGTTAGTGATGCTCTTGACTCCCACTCTCCGCACTAAGTCACTCCCCCTTCAGAGCGCCATCACAACACATCAGCGTGCGTCCCGTTAATGAAACGACAGCACATCACACCGGGTTTGTGAAGTTGTATTGTTCAGTTTTGTGTCATGTTTTTGTGTATTTATAGAAAAGTGCCACGAGGGATCAAGTCTGTAAAATTCAAAACAATATAAAAACAAAACATGATGATCGACATATATGACGTGTTGGCCACAGTGTTCGGTCTGGTTACAAAAAAGTTTCATGCTCCGTGAAATGAAGTGTGTTTTAAAAACCACTTACCATCCACCCGCCCGCCGGCGGGCGATTTTCCAATAAAAAATGTTCACTCTGTATATTCACCTTCATTATTGTTTTCACTACTGGCCATACATCGTTTGAAAGCTTAATTTATCAATAAAACAGCCATATCATTCATTTTATGCCGTACAACGAGCCCGAATTTATGTGAATTTAAAAATTCACATCATAAACAAAGAATAAGATACGCGTTTCTTACCTTTGAGCGGTTCTGTCGGTCCAAAACGCGTTCAATCCATGAAAAGTTGTACTCAATAAGTCCGTAATAATCCACAGAAAAAGAATATCAAGTTGTTTTTCCAAAAAATAATTCCATGTGGGGAAATAATCCAGAAAATCATCGTCCGTATGAGTGGATGAATCCGTGAATGAAATATTCTGTCTCTTCTCCGCCTCTTCTCCCGCGCTCACTTCCCTTTCTCTCCCGCTCTTGGGTGCGCTTGTTTTCCTCACACTCTTAGCTTCAAAATGAGACCCTCCCCGCTGTTGTCGGTGGCGGGGTTTAGGTGGGACAAGCCGCTGAAGAAGCTAACGCACTCACGTACTTCCTGGCTTTACGCACGCGTCATCAGTTTGTTTACGGGAAATCTCTTCAGTCATTGGATCTTCCAGAAAGTGATTGACATATTGTTTTAGCCAATCACCAGAGCTTTCAAACGGTGGGTGGGACATTCAGATTGTATTGGAAA